CTGCGGTACAAGACAAAGCAAACAGTTGCATGCGCAATTGAGCAGTGACTCACAATACACGGTCTTTCAAAGGCAGTATTTCTAGGAAATGGGTAATGACAGAAATTTCGTATAAGCATGGGTCATAAGATACCCCCTAATGGAGGTTCAGGATGCTGAGGTTTTAATTTTAAAATCGTAAAAAAATCTTTATTTTAAGTCTAAATGTAGAATATACTTTTCTTTTGGAATCAATAACAATAACACGAAAACCGTTTGAAAAAAGTGGTATAAACGTTATATCAAAAAAAAGTTCGAAAGGAAAGCTATTTAATGATATAAAATATACAGAGTGTTCCATATAAAATTTATATGAAAAGGTACATTTTGGGTAATTAGATACCTTGTATGAATAGAAAGATATTTTAGCATTCCTTTCAGAAGATCTTAAAATCGATAATAATAAAATTTTTGTGAAATAAAATTTATTTGAATATCTTCAAAAATGGCGAAGCTGCGAGCCGTCAAAGTTGGGCATTCTTCCAGACATTTCACTAAATACAGAATGGCCGATATGTAACTGACTGGTTTGAATCTTGAATATTTGTGAAATGAAATAAAATACGTCAATTTTTTTCATCTTAATCTTTTATTGAAGCTTAGAAATAATATCAGACAAATGTCAGCCTCTAGAAGCTGCGCAAACCTGAGCCCCCTTGACTACATTTTCCATCACATTTTGGTAGGTTTCGGAAGGAATATGTTAATTAATATTGTTCTTCAGCTGCTCTACAGTGGTTTGTTAGCATAAACCCTATTTTTCAAAAATCCCCATTAAAATCAGGAGCTGTTAAATCCGATGACCTTGGTGGCCACCAAATCGAGAAATTAAACGTCCCGGGATTCAATGTCGCTCTAGCTGTGTGGCAAGTTGCTCCGTCTTGCTGGAACCACATGTTTTGCAGCTTAAATTGTTGGATTTGAGAAGGCAGAAAGTTTTGCACCATATCACGGTATCGCTCGCCAGTGGTAGTAAGAGAAATGTAGCGTCTTCAAAGAGGAAAAGTCCAATGACACCTCTATACCAAACACCGCACCAAACTGTCACTCGAGAGGATCTAGTGGTCGTTGATGGATGACACGAAGTTTCTCTAATGCCCAAATACGACAATTCCGCTTATTAATAAAATCCTGTCATATCAAGTGGGCTTCATCGGTCATTATACGGATGCGTTGTGGGATCGTGCAGCGCTCCATGATGAATTGGACGCATGTGCTTTAAAAAACTACTACGGCGCATTTATCAAAAATGGCGCGCAATTTAAATCTATTGGTCAACCTGTATCTAAGCAATTGACAGTTAAGACCATATGTTATATAATATCAAGCTTCTTGTTCTTGGAAGCTCTGTTCAAGTATACATTAGAATGTTCCATTTAAAAAAGAGTATTCGTTTGTTATGGCACGAGGTTATGTTATGGAAGACTCTATACCTACATATTAAAATATTTTAAAAGATGCCGTAGTTACATACCAAGGTTGCCACGAAAGTGGATTTGTGTTAACTTTTCAAGTTCCCTCATGAAACTACCTTCTATTTTAATTGGGACCCATGTATTAGGTCTTGGCCTGAGCTTATTTATACCGCTATATGCGCACACTGAATACCTCTCCAGCAATTCCTTGTAAACAAACTAGATATCCTATGATAGAGCTAAAATTGTGGGTACTATTTTTAGATTTCAAAACATATACTTCATCATGAATGTTGAATACAAAACTCAAAAACCGACATATGGCATTTTGATTCGCTGATGTATTCTACGCGGACGTAGGTTTACTACTTCATCTTTATAAGGTGATTGAAGTCGCAATATGATACATAATTTTGAACAAGCAGCGCAGCGTAATAAACTGCAAATCTTGGGCTTAATAGCGACACAGATTTCTTTGAGAAAAGATCTTATATTGGCTTGGAGGTATATTTTAAAAAAGCACAAGCACCCCGACTGCAGTAACTGAAAAGAATAAAGATTTATGTGCTATAAGACAATTCTAAGTACACATCAAATGTCAAAATCCTTCAAGACGCTTGGACCGTAGCCCGTGAAATAGAAATTTCAAAGTTTAAAATCCGTCATTCTGATTTTATAAAGTTTCAGTAAACCCAGTGTCGCTCACAATGTCAAAAAAATTAGCATCACATCATGTCAAAAACCATCAAGGTTTTACGTTGTAGCATATGAAATAAGAATTTTAAGGTTGATTTCTTTAAAAATCAGACATTTTACTTTTTAAACATTTTAATATACTCAGTGTTATTCGCACTACCGAGGTAATGATAATAATAATAATATCAATAGTAATGATAATAATAATAGGGTCTTTGTTAAGAAATACGTTACATATTTATACTAAGTGACATATA